TGATCTAGCAAGTTTGAAAAGAGGGTTTAGCCTGAATTGGAACGAGATACGGAATTGGTGTGTAATGTCATTTCTGAATAACTATTGTTTTATTCTATTACATCTAGAAGCGATCAAGAGGCTGTGAAAACGTCAGGAGCCAACCTTTCAATTTATGGTACATAATGTAATCAAAAATGCTCTGTGCATCTTCCAACCGAGTTGTGTGATCAGGGTCTTTACTGGCGATGCATATTATTGGATGGTGTCTTGTTGTTTTTCTTATAGGGGGAGCCTAGACGTTAGAGGCATTGACCAAATAATAACAATAATGTAAAAATCTGCTCTTTGGAAGGTCGCGATCCCTTAGCTTTTTCGAGGAAATCTTACAACCGGAGCTTCTACAATCATTCTAACATATTGGGTGAGTGTGTATTTTATTGATGCAGAATGACTTCATTATTATTTGAAGATTACAAATGAAGGCAACTCCCTCACAATAGAGAAAAAGAAAAATCGCTATACTGTGATCTATGAAAATAATATTGAACTAACTATAGTGTCTGTTTATATGGCTCTGCCCGTCTAACTCGCGTATTGTATGAATTAAACCTACACAGTATGGATCTCTGTTCAGATCGCACCAGCGTCAATTTGCAATACTGGTACATTGTTTATTTCTACAGGAAAGATATGGATCTGTGAGATGTCATACAGAATACTTATTTATCGATTACGAAAAGTTCAAGCGATGGAAACGTCTAAGGCTTAAAAAAAGAATTGGAAAAAAAAGAAAGTACATACTCAAGTGACGACTTGTTTTTCTAGTGATCCCCAGCAATGTTTCAATTAAACCGTATAATCTCGCTAATAGCACGGTCAGGTATTGCGTGCCACTTCTTCGATAAATACATTTCTGCTGACTGATTATGTAACAAATGGTAGAAATAGTAAGGAGAGCTCTTCCCACAAATATCCGTCCCTAATAAGTACTGTATTCCTGAAAATTTATGTTTCGACGTACCATTTTTTTTGACCATCATTAATGGCTGTACTTGTTCGGTCCCACGTTCCTTTGTCTTGGGCAGTTACCGCGCTTTGTCTTGGACAGTTACCGCGCCGTTTTCGTTATTAACCAGAGTAACCCTTTTAAAATTCGCCGTTGAGTATTACTCAACCGTTAAATCACATTTCTACGTGATTTACGTAAAAGCTACTGATTTCGTATATTCAGAGCTTCTCGTTGTAAACGTTCTTCAAAGTCTGAATGAAAGTACACGTTTCATCCTGCTTAATATGTACAGGTTGAAAATAGTCACGTCATTAAAATGTCGCAAATAATCCCGCGACTAGTCTTAGTAATACTTACTCATGATAAATACAGTGTCGTCGTGCCATTGTTCTTGTAAGCGTTCTTGTAAGCGTTCTTGTAAGCGTTCTTGTCAACTAGGCATGAAGGAGTTTTGCGTTCCTTTATGAGTTACAAAATCGAATAACGTGATCGAGATTTTTGTTACTAAATCAAGCAATAACCATCATTCTCTTGATATAGAAATAACTCATTTAATGAATGTATTAATCTTTTTAATCCATATCAATGAAAGAAACTTTATTTATTTCATCTCATCACTCGCAGTAAAAGCAGGCGTAGCCGTGGTAAAACCGAGATTGTATTTTCTTTACATTCGTACTGACTGTAACTACAGGATACTAACGCATTGTCACCACTCATTTAACAATGGTCTAATTCAACGTCTACAATAAGTTTATGCCCGACACGGCACGTCGTCTTTCCTGTTTCTCTTCACTCTAGTTTTCCGTCTAATCGTAGACTATCGTTCTACCCTCTCGTAATGCATAGCATATCAAATTCCTCGTCACCGTATTCATCATCACCAGCCAGAGCTCAATTCTATATTCGGCGAGACCTTCCTCCCACAGAAGTTGTACCTGTCTCTTCAAATCCCTGTAGGTTGTGTCTGGGATTTGCATTGTTTATGGCATTTGCGTGTCTTGGGTTGATGTTCGTTGTGTCTGGAATTTGTATTGTTTGTGGCATCTGTGTGTCTTGGGTTGATGTCATAGTCCGGTTCTTTGTCGTAGCGGAGGCTTCGCGTATATTCGATTTGTTCATAAAGGCACGGGGACATCCTTCATTCTCTCCTGGTTTGTCAGTGTTTCCTACATATCCTCTTTTATCAATAAAACCTTCCCTAGATCTACTGTTTCCAATCCATCTCATTGAAATATGAAACTTCTTCCAGACTTCATTGCGTCATCGCTTGTGGTCTTCTTCGATTCCACGTGTCAGTTTGCTATTCAACCTGGAACATTGGCCGGTCGGAATAGTGTGCATTGTAGCTATTCGCGTTTACCGCGCTCGTGAATCCAATAAAATCCTCTAGTCCTAGAAGTCATGAAATAGAGTTGAGCGGTTAACATCTGAAATAATATTGCTAATGGGTGTTATGACAATCAGTAATAATTCGGAAAGTTCATAATTGCTAAAGTCTAATACAGGAATTTTCAAATTACAATAATTTCCATTTCGCGATTCCTTATTATTCACAGTTTAAGTATCTAGTATTCACTTACTTAAAGTATACGCAACACTGTTGATCGGAATTTTCGAAGGAGGAAGTCGAATGCCATTAACCATTTGTGCACACAATGACTGCATTCTCTTATACATTTCTCCGATATTGGTGTTATCATTCCGATGCTGACATCCATAGAGTTCCTGTACAATTTATTTAATTCCATTAGTATTCTCTACACTTGGTTTTATTTACATCTTTGATCCATCCACTTAAATAGCACACAACTTTCCCACATTTTCGCCCATGACCCACTCACCATGCAAACATAACCCAGCAAAGATCCTCATTCATACTCACTGGCATTGATATACTAAGCTAAGCTTTATTATTTCTTAAAAGCGCTTACGTGCCAATGTTCTGTTGGTTTTTTTTGGAACTATTATATTCCCTTTCTCGTAAGGTGGATCCCTTTTTATCTTCCTGCCAGTTCAGCTTTCAAATGCATTATACGTATTTACTGCCTATAAATTGAAATTAGGGTTAGAATTACAAGAAGTTTCCGCGCGTAAGGGCAGACAATCCCCGACGGAAATACTGGCGGGGATTCGAAATTGTACGTACCATTCGGCTATATGTGTACAGCCATGGCGTCTAACGGGACCACTTCATTGACGCATTCCAGTCAGAAAGCGGTGGAGATCGTTTTCCTAATCTTGGTTCTACATAGTCGTCATAGAATTATTACGCGTAAAGTGAAGTGCCAGGTACAGACACCGATGCTTTCATACTTTTCATACTTCAATTGAATCTATATTAAAAATCAAACTTTCTTATCATACATTTGCGTACATGCTCAGCGCTAAGAAACATACTCAATAGGTCAAGTTTGATACGCTTGACACCACCGAACGCGGGATTGGTGTATGTAAGAATCGGCCAGGTAAATCTAATTATCAATTAATCAAATATAACATATTAATAAAATTCTTAACAAGAGTTAATATCGATATTTTTCAAATTTTCCATCAGTCCTTACTTCTACATTCCATTTCACAACAGAATATGCTTAAGCGCATAAAGCACAATAGAGCTTCGTGTAGGCTTGAGAAAGAGCAGAAAGAATTACAGCAAAGTTAGAAGAGCATTTTGGACACTGTATAATGCTCAATATTTACTCCGCGTAATACCGCCTAAAAGATCGAGATTATACATTCGCGTGCCACTCTCCACCTTTTAGCGTCGACTCCTGTATAGGAAGGCTTTCCTGCAGTCGCCCTAATGAGTACAGGAGTAGGGGAGGGCTCTAGTTCACACCCGATTAGTATGTCATGCAGTTACTGGCGTCTTCAACAACGAACATTATATAAGATTCACACCTTCATCCGATGCAACATAAACGATTTTTCAACAAGAACAATAGTGTGTGGTCTTCGTCAAGACTTTATTCTGCAATTAAGTCGTTATTCCATAGGGGTGGGTGCGTTATTAATCTCATTTACTTATCTTAATCGAATGACTTGCACCAATACGTACATTGTGCTTAACGTGATTCCTGCCCAATTTCCTTTCGGAATATTAATCGTTATTATTAAAGTTGTTCCCTGTTACCAAGATCCCAAGCAACGCCTTGATAACGTTTTCAAGTCGATTAAAGTGGTGCGTGGTTATCGGGGGAGGGTGTCGTATGAGTCGACTAAATTGATGCGACCAAAATGTGACTGACGACTTTTTCTTGACAATCGCGTTGATAGAAGTGCGTGGTTATGGGGGGAGGGGGGACGGGGGATGAGTCGATTAAATTGATACGACCGATATGTGATTGACGACTTTTCTTGACAATCGCGTTGATAGAAGTATGGCATACATCAAGCGGATAAGCCTTTCGCGATGAGAGACGGTGACTTGTTGGGTTCTGTGATGTCAATTCATTGAGTGAAGGTAACGAGGGGGGAAGAGGGGAAGAGAAATGAAGGCGGTGGGAGAGTTAAGAGTGAAAGAAGGGAAGGGAGGTGAATGATATGGACTTTGGAATAAGGAATTCTATAAAGAAGCGGTGAACAAGAAAACACGTTGTGTTTGTTCGTAGCCTAGGATGATGCGGTTACCAAATACTTGTGTTACCAGTTCCTTAAATTTTAAATGTACGTGTTATTAATCATATAATAATAATAATAAATATCTATTCGCATTATTAATACAATAGAAAATTGTTGTATTTGTTGATTTAAATATCGCTGCAAGTCGGAAATAAAAAAAAAGTATCTAAAACACGATCTCGACTGAGTATAGGCGACATCTGAACGTGAAACATAGCGATATGGCAAGTATATGAATTTACTTAACCTCAAAGAATTCCAATCAAAGTATTGATGCTTACTTTAGTGCTAGTTAGATACCGATATTAATATTAATATTAATATTAATATCGTTAATTTTTAATTTGTTATCTAATAATATAAATATAAAATAACAGAACTATAATAATACAGTCACAGGTCGACGGTGTTATTGTTTGGATGCGTACATTCAATTTTGCATTTATTATAAAATTTTTACTTAGTAAGAAAGCTCAAAACTAGAAATAATAATAGAATTCAAACGAATTAGTTGAGGAATGGTATTGTATTGTCTTAAGAACTCTTTGTCAATTTTATAAAGTGATATTTCACCAACCATCTGATTTATTAAATATCTTTTTGGCTTATTGTACAAAGCATATGCAACCTACGCTGCTACTAGGTGTAAAAAGTTGGAATTCAAAACATTTCATGCTACTCGACAGTCCGAGTACTAGATAAATCTTTTCGATGTACCAAAAAAAAGGAGATATTTTTAAATCATTATTACTCAGTGACCACTGTGTCAATTTTTATGCTTAAATGAAAGCTTGCAACCCATAAACTTATTCAATAACAATTAATATGGTATACGCTCGGCATTGTTCTCAATAATTAATTCACATCGTCGTTTCATTGAGTCTACTAAATTAATTAGAGTTGCTCGTGGAATATTTTGTCACTCCTCTTCCATAAATTGTTTTAACTCCCACAATTTTTGGGCATTCGCCTCTCAATATTGCTTTTAACTATATTCCAAAGATTTTCAATTGGGTTTAAATCAGGACTATTAGATGCCAGTCATAATTTTCGGAATATTTTTCTGAATAAAATCTTTAGCAACTCTACTTGTATGCTTGGGGTCATTATCCTGCTGGAATCTCCAGCTCTTGCCAAGCATCTGATTAATTTCAGGAATATGTTGAGCCAAAATTTCAACATAAAATTTGCATCCATGATTTGTTTAAAGCAAAAGAGAGAAGTTTTTCCTTTTACACAAAATCCACCCCAAGCAAAAATTTTTGTTCTGTCTTTTGGTATAGGATGAATTGGTCTTTCACCCTTGTGCCACCTTTTCAATGTGTTTCTAAATAATTGGAATGCCGTTTCATCAGAAAATAATGTTTTTTTTCCAATTATCATTAAGATGCTGTCTTGCCCATTGTACTCGTTTTTCTTTATGAGTTTCAGTGAGCATTGGTGTAGCCATTGGTAGGCTTTTGGAGTAACCAATACGGGACAAATGCCTTGAAACAGTCATGTGAGAGACGTTAACATCTTTCTGAGTTAACATATTTGCCAATGTTCTGGTTGAGAGAGTAGTATCTCTTCGAATATATTGTCCCAACGCTTTTGAAGCTTCACCGGTAATCTTCTTCGGCCGACCGTTTCCTTTTGCGTGAGCAACACTTCCCGTTTTTTGAGCTTTTTTATATTCTTATAAATTGTAGCAAGAGGTATGTTTGTCCTCCTATGTATTTCTTGACCATTGGTTATGCCTTGATTCCATATAAGTGTAATATTGTTTGAACGTTGTGTTTCTTTGGCAGAAGTCATTTTTTGAACAGCAATTTTTTATAATTGGAAAGACAGAATAACGTGTGCGTTATAAACAAAAACATGCAACGAGTGTTGTTGTTTATTTTATTTTTTCAACGACGCGAATTGGATTGTTTTTGGAAAAGTTATACGCGTTTTTTTACCAAACAAAAAAATATCTCCTTTTTTTTGTTACACACTGTATCGTTTATGGATGATTTCGACCTCTATTTGGACGCTTATCTAACTATTTATAGTTATAGATCGACCAAAAATTCGCTACATAGGTTAAAGATCGACCTAAAGGTCGGGGTTGTTTTTCTATAATTATTATTATAAATAATAATAATAATAAACTGATGAACGAGTTGTCTCTCTTTTTTTAAAACCTTTACACTTGGGAACGAAAATGGCATGTTCGAGACTCTATCTTGTATGCGTCGCTATATTTGATTTTTTTGATCTACAACGAAATGTTGAAACCAACAAAATTCTTTCGACAGAATGTCGTTACATCGAATAAATTTCATTATATAGATTTTTTGTTCCAGGATTTTTGTCAGTATAACAAGATGTCGTTATATAGCAGTGTCGTTATATCGAGACGTACGTAAGCTTACAGTCGGACGTTATTTTGTGAGGAACAGGCCACTTATTATTATGCCTTTTTTTCGAAATAAAGTGACCACAAATCGCGTTTTTCGTCCAGAGTGATAATAGACTTATGGCGGGGTGCGGAAAGTATCGACGAATTATGGAGATGGGTGACATAGAAGCGGTTCCACGTGGATTTGGAAAAGTTCTGCGCGCGAATTATCATCGTTTGTCGCAAATCTTTTCGGTATCGAAATGACAAAGACAAACTTCTTTGCTGATTCGTGGTTGATCCTATATTTTGATTGATCATCTTGTCTCTAGCAATTAACGCTTCCTCAAATCGCTTCGTCGATATCTTGAAGGAGCATTCCAATACGCACGACTGTTTGCACAAATTGGCGTTCATCCCATACGCATGATTTTTGGAGTCTCTTGTCCTCACGCTCGTTAACATCTTTTCCTACACGAACATCCGCGTAAAGTTTAAGCTTGTTGAGAACCCGTCGTGATGGACCAGTATGCGAATTTTTGGTATGGAAATAGTGGTATCGACTCCAGCGGACAACTGCATTATAGGCAATCTTGACAAGCCCATCCACCGTTTCAATAGCTGCTTTTGAGGGTAATTTGGATATTAGTTTATTGGCAGCGTACGATGGAGGGCTCCCAAGTGTTGTCGTTTGTTGCGTGCTGCTGTTGTCCTGATTTTCCTTGTGTGGGGTTCTCGTCGGGCGACTCTTCTTCCTTGATTTCAGGGATATTTTAGGAAAGTCGGAGGTCGCTTTGTTGACGAAAACCATGAGTTTTGTAGTATGGAGGGAGTGGATGAGGTTGCGGCAGAGTCGATCACAATGGGTAACCACAATTTCTGAGACCATGCCGCGACTTTTCCGTTCCAATAAGGTCTTACGTTTATAGGTTGCGAAGCTGACGACCTCCTTTTGTATGAACCCTTTTTTGGTGGTGGTTTTGGCGGCGGCGGCGTTAGCATTGAGGGGAGAGGTTATGTGTTTACGATTTGGATTTTCAAATTAGCAAAATATTGCAATGGTTAAAAGAGTTTGGGGGATAATGTCTTTAAATATGTTTATGGTTGTCGGTATTTGAATGGCGGAACCGAAAACATGCATAAAACATGCAATCTTATATGGAGCCTACGCGCATAAAACATGCAAATACAGACTATATGATGGATCGCGGTCACAAATCGTTAATTGCTGCACACGTATCTTAATAGTCTTTCTCACGAGCAAAATAAGTTCATGGGTAGACACTTCAATTCCATGCAATTCGAATTTTTTGATACGTTCCGTTGTCTTTGTAAATATATTAGAGGGTTAAACAAAATTCTATTATTTTACATTAAGCGGTGATTTAGTTTAACTTTTAATAATTAATCTTCATGTTTGGGTATTGTGTATACTAAATAACGTGTAGTCTATTACGTTTGTGGAAAAGAATAATATCTCGATTGCTCAAAAAGTCCTATTTCAAACTCCAGGATTTCCACAAACATAAGCTAGATATGCTTTACAGTTTTTACAAAGAATGGGAAAACGTCGAGGTAGTTTGAACGCGAGAATTGTTAAACAGCATGTCATTTACGCTAATTGTAGTTGATTTGTGATCAACCAATGATTGGGTTTCATCTATTACTACGCTTTTCTCGATAATCTTGATATACAGTATATCTACATTATATTACTACTACATAGCCTGGCGATCGTCCTCTTTCTATCTTTTATTATGGGGAGTATTATTAATTACGTGTCGCAGTCGATAAATTCGAGGTTACTACTAATTAGCATAATTAGTAAATCGATTTGTCAAGAACAGTTCGTTTGTCACTTAACATATAATATACTTTTTATTTTTGGACAAAGTCAAAGGTTTAAGACATTTCTGTTCACCGTGTCTCGACCAAGTTCATCACTGAGCTTTAAACTGGACCTTTTGCACCCTCTCGGTGGACTAGAGCAATGTCCGCTTGTGCATTAGGCAGAACTGTCAGTTCAGAAATGACGACGTTTGTTGGTCTCGAGGCTGCATATATAATACAATCAGCTATGTAATTCGCGGACGGATTTATATATGTTAGTAAATGACATCAGCTAAAGGTGATGCAAGCAATTATCCCGTGCCATAATAGATATAATACCAATATCCTGAGCAACGAGGGGTTCAAATCCGGCGTAATATGTATCCACGAATTCTGGACCTAGCTCGGGCACTCTGTTTAAGGTAAAATCAGTACGAACCGCACCTGTTGATATGTATGATTCTATATGAAAATACTATGCGATACGACTTCACAAATATGCAGCAAGTTTTTGTACCTGGTCTGATTAAAATTGCGCGTATCTTAGTAGCAACAAGTTCTTTACGAATGGATCTGGTTTATTATCGATGGATAAGTATGTTGATAAGCACACATATCTTGATTATCATAATCCTTCATTAAGTATGAAAGTTTCCTTACGTTGTAATGCCTTCGACAGCATGTTTCGATGCAGCGTACAAAGCATTTCCGTGTCGATGTGTCTGGAAGCCTACAAAATGATTTATATATCAAGAAAAGTTTCCGCTAAAAGAATGCTTATAATAATTACCTGATATACTCCCAACATTTATTATATCTCCCGAGTTACGCTCTTTCATCCGGGGCAATACAGCCTGTATCATGTAAATGTAACCGTTAACGTTGGTGCCAATAACTTGTTGGACAGCGTTTTCAGAGTTCTTCTCCAGTGGATCAAATCCAATTGCCAATCCAGCCTGTTCAGAAGACGCAATGACGTTAGCATTCCTTAGTAAAAGGGGGATGGCCAATTAAAAGTACCAACATTGTTAACCAGAATATCAATATCTTTAAACTCGTCGGGCAGCCCATTAATTGCGTTGTCGATTTCCTTCTTGTTTTGAACGTCTACTACACGCACACAGACTTTTGCTGTCGGATTCTGGTTTAAAATGCGTTGAGCGACCTCATTCAGACGATCAGCTCGTCTTGCAAATAGAATGTATTAAAGGTCAAGGCAAAAACAGCGACTCTACGAAGCAAGTAGTGCAGTGTTTTAATTAGAATAAAGGATATGAGATTCGATCCATGTTTGGCAAATTCAAGGGCAGTCGCAGCTCCGATACCAGCCGATGCTCCGGTTCTACAGGACAATTGTAGATTAACTGGCTTATATTTCAGTTAACACCAATCTTACCATTTTATCAACTTACATCAGAACTACTTTTCCAGATAAGTTTGAGGTCATAATGAACAATAAAAAAGAGCTGCGGATAATAAATCTATATTCGTATTCGGGTAATTAACAACTGCCAAGCCAAAATACTATAAATAGCATTGGCTGGGTAAGACAGAAGCGCACAAGCCTCAAGAGAATCGAGACTAATACAAATTAATGTCAGCACACGAAATGACGTGGTATGCAAGATTAATATATCGACTTAAGTTTAGGTATATGATTGTACCCAATTATGAGCCACAAGATGTCTTGATTGCCCGATTTGTTACTATTACTTTAGTTTTAAATAAGAATTTGTCAGATGGAATAATAATTGCGCAAAAGTATTATTATTCCAGACGTGTCTTAGTATTTGTACTCGGTTATTGCATGCGACGGATCTTGAAGTGGCAATACAAATAGTTTAATATGGTCTATTATAAACTCGCTCGATTCGTGTAATGGATTTGTAATACCTTCGAGATGAACTCCTGCCAGTAGTTGCTCGCACGTTTCTATTCGATGGAGTATGATTATACGAATAGAAGTCAATAGAAGTCATACCGGTTTGGTACTATTATAGGTGTTTTAGTTCTTATAGGCAAAAGATTATATAGAGACTATATATATATACCATACCAAATCACTTTTTTCGGTTGCGGAGTTTTACTGGTGTCACAAGTACAATTGATATAAATGTAGACAAATCGGAATTCAAAGTAACTTGTCCATTCTCTTTGATTTTTTAATATGAGTGAACAACCCGCAAGTGTAGTCGAAAATCCCGGAACTAATTTAAAAAAAAAAAAAACGGTAATGGGTCCGAGACCTCTACCTGCTGTCCCAAATACACAAAATCATACGAGATCAGACAGCAGCGGTCACACGTCGACCAACACCGATAATTATATTTATCAATCAAACGATGTAGCAGATAGTGTTAATAATACTGCACCACCATTTCCACCTCTCATCTCTCCTAAACCGCATAGACCAGTGCCGACTGTACAAGATACATTGGATCGATCAATAAATGAAGGTTATTTAGACAATAATGCCATTAGTGCTTCTATTGCATCTCAGCCATACCAGTACCAGGAGATCGAGTCTCGTGCGCCAAGATCGTCGACTCATACTGAAGAGGTAGTTGTTGGGAGTAATGCACAACCTACGCGACCCAAACCGAGTGATTTGCCTCGCATAGATGGACATATTGCACAATATCAGCAACAACAACAAGTACAACAGCAACAACAAGTGCAGCAGCAGCAACAACAGCAACAACAAGTGCAGCAGCAGCAACAACTGCAACAACAACAACAGCAACAACAGCAACAACAACAACAACAACAACAACAACAACAACAACAACAACAACAACAACTGCTGCAGCAACAGCAGCAACAACGACAAGTGCAGCAACAGCAACAACAACGACAACAACGACAACAACAACAACAACAACAACAACAACAACAACAACAACAACAACAACAACAACAACAACAAATACTACCACAGCAGCAGTATTATGTAGTGGATTATAATCAACCGCAACAATACTTCCCACAGCAGGGTAATCAACAGCAAAGAGATTTTGTAACAATGCAACAAGAAAATTTAAATGATCCCTACTTAAAATTGGGAAACATACAGGTTGGGCAACCCTCATATTCTCAATCTAATTCACAGGACGCTGCACAAAAAGCCCAGATTACTGTAACTTCACCATACGATAATCAATATCAGCTCAACAATAACGGAGTATCTACTCAATCTTCTCAAATTCGGTCTTGGTCTGGCCCCCCTAACCCTGGAAATAATCTCGGGCTCCCGACAGACAACGAGTTTAATAAGCCAAATAATTTGCTTTCAGGTGGATCAAGGTCATTATCAAGTAGTCCCAATAATGGGCATCTACAACCTCAGCGTCCTCGCTCTTATTCTCCCGGACATAGCCGGTCGTCCTCCCCCTCTGCTGCGATAGGGTTTGGACCTGATGGCGTTCCGGTTGGTCCAGACGGAACGCCTCTTCCCCCTGCCTTGGCTGGCAATCGCTTAAGTTGGCATTCACCTCGATCATCACCTGATCCCAATAGTCGAATATCGGTGTATTCGCCAAATCCTGGTCGTGCATCATACGTTCCCGGCCTCAGATTAGCGATTGACGAGAAGAATGCTCGTCGGATGACAACCATATCGTTCACACTGGCCAGTGATGAAGCCGCATTAGAACGTTATCGAGATGCTGCGCGTAAGACGAATGATCCAAAAGTACAGGCTGATTATGCTAAATTCCTGATAGAAATGTCCGAATCTTATCAGCCGAATAATCCTAACAGTGTCAAGAACTTAAATGCCAACCAGCCAGCGACGTATGACAAATTAGTGGATGAAGCCATTTATTGGATAGATAAACTAGCTAAAACGAACTATGCCGAGGCATTGTATATTAAAGGTACATGGCATGAAAAGGGAATATTTAAAAAAGAGCGAAATCATGACAAAGCATTAAGATGTTATAGAAGTGCGTCCATACAAGATCATGCGAAAGCGAATTACAAATTAGCCGAGAACTACGAAAAAAAGAAGGATCATCTAAGAGCATGTCAATTCTACAAGAAGGCGGCATCCCTGGGAGATCCCAATGCATTAACGGTATGTCCTTACAATGATGTTAGGGGAATGTTTATATTATTATATCTTTGTAACCTTCCTATATTCGAGCGAGCATCAATATTCCCAATTAACGTATTCGTTGATTTGTTCTAGAGAATGGCACTTGTCTATATGACTGGTGGTTTAAAGCAAGATGTGGATTATAAACAGGCGTTAATATATCTTAAACAAGCAGCGGCAAAGGCTAATGAGGACTGTCCTGAGGGAGCATACATATACGGTATGATGTTGGCTAAAGAATGGAATGCAATAAAGGTACCAGATGATTTGGTAACACCTGACGAAGATGCAGCTAGAGAATTCATCCAGCGTGCCGCACATTTGGGTTATCCTCCTGCCTTACATAAAATGGGAGTATGCCATGAATTTGGTTCTTTGGGATGCCAATTTGATCCAACAACGTCAGTGCAATATTATGAGCGTGCAGCTGAAAAGGGAGAGGTCGAGGCCAATATGGCACTGTGTAAATGGTATCTCTGTGGTGCTGAGGGGTATTTCGAACAGAATGAAGCATTAGCATACCAAAATGCTGAGAAAGCAGCCTCTAAAGGATTACCCGCTGCAGAATTTGCAATGGGATATTTCCATGAAGTTGGAGTTTTTGTACCGGAGGATTTGCAAAAAGCTAATGCATGGTATAATAATGTAGGTTTCTGTGATTATTTGTTATGTCATCAATGGCTTTTATCTGATCAAATTCATTTTAAATAGGCTGCTACTCATGGAAATGTAGATGCTCAAAGACGTCTTGGACGTGGAGGAACTATTACTCGACGTGAGCATGAGGAAAAATTAAAGAATCAGAAAATCAACGGTAAAAAGGAGAAGAAAGATAAAGATTGTTGTATACAATAGAATACTTATTAGACCGGACACTTTGCAATATTAATGTCAATTGACCGTAATTATTGGTTTCATAATATTATAGATTAAATTAAATTATTTAGACACGACTTGTGTACAAGTTTTACACTATCTGGTCAAGATATTGCATACCCAAAAGTTATCGATTGCACAAATCACACATAATAAGTGTCTCAAATTTAATGTGTTATTGTTGCGTGTTAGTATGTAAACAACGCCAAATCATATAAATAAATTGTCAACCTTATAAATGTAGTTAGACGTACAGTATATCGTAAATTTTCTAATAATGACTTTCTTAATATACAGTAGGTCAAACCCATGTGAGTGACTATATTAATATGGCTCTTAACGCTCTAGATGATATTATCGCATGCTCCACATTAAGCAAAGTCTAAATTAGGCAATAACAAGTCCTAAAGGTTATATTTTTTAACAATGTTTTGATGATCCAAGTGTTCGGTAATCATGAGCGAAGGCTTTGCGAGACGTCCTACCAACCGGAAAAATACTATCAAAAAAAAATTGCAGCAACAAGCAATTCCACTCCCAGTTTATATTGACCATGGCGTTACAGCTGCTTTCAGGTATCTGACAAGCTTTTTTTGGTCGAGCAAGCCTTATGGAATCTTCGATCGTGCATCAAGATCCGTTTGGGTATCCAAGCAGGAAGATATCGACATTCTTTGGCGACAAGGATTTTTTGGTAAGGGTACTCTCTCGCGGAGTGAACCACTCTGGGCTTTTGGTTACGAGAAAAGTAAGAGAGGTAATAAGAGACAAAATGGTTACACTTGATTTGGAGGTCTATTTTTCAAAACGAATTCTGACGAAAGCCTTGTATAACATTGAGTTGTGTCCCGCAATGTCGTCGGAGGTCAGTTAGTCAAGAATGATAGCAAATTACCCGGCATATTTGCAAATGAAGGAACGTCGACTGTTGTTGAAGATGTCCAAGGTTCAGCAGTCGAAATCGTAGACCTGTCAACAATGGAGCGTCTTCAGTTACATCTGGAAGAAGCAATGTTCTTGCTATATGGTCTTGGAATTCTAGATATATACGACACCAACAAGGTTTTGTAATTTACTGAGTATCACTTAATCGTAGTTAAAAAAAGTGTTAAACTTGATGGTATGTGTCTCTGTAGAGGCTGCTTAGTATAGAAGAATGCTGGACGGAATTCTGCCTTGCAGGTCACAGAGCTCCCCCTACTGATACTGCAGAACAACAGTCGAATTTGGATATCAACTGGAACAATTCCTTTATAATTTATTACACGGTCTATCATTATTTTCGCAGTCTCGGATGGGTAGTAAAAGACGGAACAAAATATGGTGTCGATTATTGTAAGATATTACCACACAGACGTTCCATTGTATATAAGAAATCCTTCTAATTTTCTTTTTCTGTTAGTGCTATATGAAAAGGGCCCACCGTTTAATCATTCACAGTAAGTAGGAGCTCTATCAAGGAAAAATCGTTAGATGTAATATACTTAACTGGCATTAATCGACTCAGGTATGCCGTCGTGATCGTGCCAGTTCATGATACGCCTGAAACAAAATCATCGAATTCAGAAGCCCCACTAAAGTTGTGGCAATCTATAATGAGTTTGAGCAGAGTATGTGGTTCGGTTAGAAAGGTCAGTCCGCAATAAATATTGTTATTTATTGTATTTGAGCCAACAAAAATAACCACGTTCTTTGGTACAAGACTATAGTGCTTTGTCATGTTATAATTCCTGATTCAAATGATGTTCTACCCATACATTCACCTGAATGTGCCAAAATGTATACTGTCAAAGAAATAGTTATTAACCGGTTTCTGCCAGAGAAAGGTAAGGAATAGTTATACGGCTGTCATTAAAAGATGAATGCTCTGGAAATTCCAAGTCCAACAACTCCTGGTAATTAAATACAATTGATTGTGTGTATTATATGACATGATTTGTGCATTGTTAAAAGTTTAACTTGTGCCTTTGTGGATTGAATTCTGACAAGTCCTCAAACATTTGCATATAGGACAGAATACTGGAATTGTCAAAATCGAAGTAATTGCTATTTTCAAAACTATATTTCAAAGTTAAATAAAGGATTGCTCCTAATACCATTTGAACGGGATTTGGTTGGCTGACCTTTCAATAACGTGTTCCCTTAAAAGAATCAATCTTTTCCAGTTTTGTTTTTTATAAAATATCACGACTCATCTGTTAATGGTTTTTGGAAAGTAAACTGATTGAAAATAGCCACCGGTTAGTATTTTCTTGCCAGAGGTAATCAAGTGATCAAGCTCTGAAATAGTATAATATAAGTCAATTCAAATCGTGTAATGATCAATAGCAGAATAGTTCTGACTTTTGATGATTCCAATGGTCTTTATTGGTAGAGCTAGCATGGCTTCTTTACAGAAACCTGTAGTTTTTATAAATCTCTCTGTGACATCAGAATAAAATCACCACTATCTAACAGGCATCACGTAATTAGATCGCCATGAGGATTCTAATTTTAGTGTATCGTGAAGATGTGCCCACGAGATTTCGGGGATGCATGGAAATTTTACGAAGTTGAACAATCTAGCAGAATCTCATGACAAGATCGCCAATTTGTTGGTGACATCACGACGAGATGTTTGCAATATTTTCTGATTGTAAATGTCACATGGTTATCAGCACAACGTCCTGCAAATCTCATCGAGACCTTTTTAAAAAATGCAAGTTTCTGTAAAGTTATGTTGTATCTCGATCTAAATAACATCCAGTTCCATATCTACCTTTATACGCTTATCTCATAATGACTTAACAATACTTTCATATTCTTGAGATGTCAATATGATGTACTTCGTAGAGTCTAATCTGAAGTAACAGGCTATTTAATCAGTTAGTTTGAATAAAGAATTATTTACTATTCCTTGGTTAATACAAATATATACACGTAGTTTCCTTCGGTTTGTAGAATTACCCTGCCGATCCGAAAACCTCGATTATATTGGCCAACGTCGAAAATTATAACCACTCTGGGCGAACGGTACTCGAGATGTCTAGAAATTTCGCTTTCTACAGTAAACATTTATATCAAAACTTAAAATTAGGAATGTCTGGATTCTAAATCGCGTTCTGGTAGGCACAAACACTCTCATTGTCATCTTGTCAAATGGTCTAGATCTTAATCCGGTCGAAAATTGTAATTGTGGCAAATTTTAAAGACACAGGCTGAAAAAGGGTCAATAAAAAAGCTGACAGTTGCACGTAAGGTCTTTTGTAGAATAATTCTGGGAGAATGAGAAAAGCGCTTATATTAATTTGCATCATCATAGCATGCCGTCTAACAATAGTAGCAATGCGTAAAACTTTTGATATCAGTAAAATTTTACGTTTGTCTGACCATTTCTCGCTGCACAACTAATAAAACGTTATTCCAAAGCCTTTTTCGCGGACTGTAATTTACTTTCGCAACGCATCCCGCGATATTTTCTGGATGAAGTAAACTCAAATATCGAGATTTTGCTTATGGAGAATAAAAAGCTGAAATCAGAAACCTTTTTTTCCGCTACTCATTGAATCAAAACTTTTCACGGATATTTTCTTAGCTCTATGGTGCAATGCACCTATAGTCATCAAACAAATTCATGCAACTTTAAAACCACCAATTTAAACAATATTAAAAATGTAAACCGTAAAAACGATAGATCTAACGATTCTCTTTCAGATTTACGGTTTAGTTTTTTTAATTACATTATATTATAAAAAGTTATTAGGGATTAAAGCCGGACGCTTTTATTATTAATCTTCGAATTTCGGACGCCCATCATTCGGAATTTGATCAAAAAAATCTTTGAAATCACGTGACTTAGAATAGCAAATTCCATTATTATAGATTAATATCACATCGCGTAAAAAATCAATTAGTAAAAAAAATGCCTCTTCATTCCAAAGGAAAAAGAAAAGCCAACGACCAATCTAGAGATACGAAAGGACGATATACATCCAAAAAGAAACATCACATCGCTCCGGTTATAGCTGATTACGATACTGAAGTAAATGAATTTAACGAACTAAATGTTAGCGATGGAATGTGGGGCAAATGATTACCTAATAATGTTTCGCTAATGGCTTAAAGAATCATTATCGCCGATAAATATCACCGAATTTCATATATATATGTTAGCCAATAAAATTTAAGAATTTGATAATATCACGTGAATATCGACATTTGAAAATTTCGGACTGATCTACATTTTTGATGACTATAGGTGCCTTGCACCATAGAATCTGAATGCAGAGTAAAGACGAAAAGACTTCGGAACCAAATTGGAACGCCCAACCAGCGAAATTAAAGCGTTGAAGAGAAAGCTTACTGTCATTCAAAATTTGTATGAAGACCTTCTTAAACAATGGCGTCGCGATTTGCAACTCAAGCAAAACATATCGACGCTATTATTGAAATAGCAAAAGCAGAACGTATGTCAGTATACGATGATGTTGAATCACTAATCAGAGATAGCAATAGGTTTTCTATTGAGAATCTTATGACATACACACCGAGTGAATGGCTCCATAAGCGTAATCAGGTCGTTGTTAAATTTATTGAAACACTGATTCAGAATGATTATGACGTCGATACCCCCATGAGCCATGAGAAGCTTTTCAAAATTGCCGCGCGGTTGATTTAATATATGGCTCACGACATGGAAAGTATGTATCTGAAGTTCAGCTTGCCGCCTCAGCTATTAAATACTCAATTGCACGATCGAAGAAGATTATCAATATATCGATAATCTCATATTACGAGTGCGGGAAGCTACAATCGATTTCAGACTTGGCTGGAAGAACTATTGGCGTACGAAGAACCGTTATCTGAAGGACTTCTATTTCTTGCATTTGACAACGAACAGAGGGGACAAAAGAACTATCTCGATCGTGGATTTAATATCGTGACTTACCATATCGTTACCAGTTTTGTTGCTTTCAATATGACGTTGCAAAACAAAATTCAACATACTGATTCACCCTGTCTTAATACATATTGCATACCGGCCAGCGGTTGTTTGGTGTACAGCATCACGTTGGATATATTCTAACTGTGTTGATACCACAAAGGAATACCGAACTTGTCGCGTTAAGGCATGCCACCACGCTTTCTCGATCAGCGGTTAACAAATTCGAGTGCCTCTTTTTATACTACTTTCTGGAGAATGTAAAATCGGATTACCATACAGATTCCTCATCAGCTTCGTTGGTTGCCGAAGTGCCTCTTTTCTTTTTATCACTTCACAAGCTATTTCGTTGACTTTCATAGCCTGTCGAGTTTATGTGACCTGAATAATCAGCATAAAAAACTTCACGCGCCGCACACTGAAGTTGATTTTTTTTTTTGAAGGTCAAATTTTTAAGCGTCTCTTGATGCACATGAATATTAATTTTTAAGCGTCTTTTGATGCACATGAATATTCCATTAGTAAGCAACCCTTGACAGCATTTAATATTTCACTGAGGGCATTGAGTGGCAGAGGCGTGGTACGTTAGCATATTTTATTTATCGTTTTTGTCTGATGTATGATTTATATTGTAGGAAGAATAAGAACGCAAAGGTTGTGGGGTGTTCGTCGAATGATATTCTTTCATACACGCGATGCGTCTATGAAACGAAGAATAAATATTTTTATGTAATTTTGTGCAATTCGAATTCGCGCATTGTTGAAATCGCATAAAAAATTTCTTTTCAGAAGCACATTATACGGAGTGGTTTGTCATTCCATTATAAAGACAATCTACCTGACGAATTATCCACTTGTTGAACAATATCATTAGAATGTATGCGGTCCAATTCTAATAACCATAATATCTGTGAGGTCTGGAATGATCATAAATGATAGAACTACTCAAAGAAAGAAGCCATATAAAACATTTCGATTGTCGACTGACTACAACTATAAAATAATCATGATACGACATGGCATATTCGGTAACACTAAATAGCTTCTTGGCCAACAATCTCCAAGCTCTTCTCAAAAGTTTCATTCTCACCACCTTCTATCACACGTGTGATAGGTGTGTACGGTGGTCTATGATACTGCTTAATATAATGCTGGGCATACTGAAGCGCAAATCTTCTTTCCTTGACAGTGGCTTTACTTCCAACCCATACGAACACTGACAAGAGCACAATAGAGATTAATACAAGTGCCAACATGATATGCAACTTGATTTAGTATACCAATCAAATGATAATACGAGATCCACTGACCTTCATGTCCGGCATCAAAGACGAAAGCATCATTTGAATCAAACATTGATTTATTTATTCTTCCTTGAGCCTCTTCTGTGAATTTCAGCTCTCCAGAAGCATCACTCACTCTGCGAATAAAGACCGTTGGATCAACTGTCATCTAAAGACTATGTTTATATAACTTGCTCATAACCACCTACCGGAATAGCCTCTTCTCTTGAGCTTGAACACTAGTATCCAAATCCTCAGAAGCCGCCTTGATAGGGCCTTTGCTTCCAAGCGCTTCCCAGAATTTGGGCATCTCCCGATCGCCCTCATCTAAATAAATACAGATCGACTGATCGATGAACGATCAAATATCGTTCACAACAATACTACAATTATTAATACCTACCGATTACGATCGTACGCGCCAATCCATTCCTCTCACTCTCCAAAGCCTGCACAAACTCGGCGGCTTTTACTTTTTCTACTCCTTGCGCGTTCTTCCCAATCAACTGGTATAACACTGTACCCGCGTCTAATACAAAAACATCACCGGAGTTTAGTGAGGTATAATCCTTGGGCACTTCTCGAATAACGATAGATCGATTTATGAGCTTAATCTTAAGCAGACGATGGCGGTACGACTTGTGTTCGACTACGTGGAAGCCAGATCCAATGCCACCGTCCTCCACTTGAAGGCGTCTGAAATAAGAAAGAAAGAGTCTGGATTCGTATCCTTGGACCTTAAGAAAAACCAATGTAGTAGCAGTGTGAAAAAGAGCATGTAAACCAACTGGTAGATAGAATGCAGGCTATAGAGAGAGGCTTACTTCACGATGTTGTACTGGTGCAGTACCGAGGACTAATAATAAGAGAATTCATAAGCAAATCAAACAAATTGGATTCAATTAAAGTCAACAACAATGATAACAACCACAATCAGAACGAGATATATACAATCATCCAACTCGACTGTCTTGTATGCGGCTGTACCGATTTCGTCCTACTCAGAATTTGTCTGTTACTACTATAGCTAATGCGGCCATTTATCACCACTTCAAAGTTCAACGCGAACAATTAGTATACCTGACTGCTGTCCAAACCAAGCCAGAAATGAATATCATGCGAAAGCGCTTCGTTGTTTGGATCTTTTTTATACGTCTAAATGCATTATTGTGTTACACAAAGAAATATTATAAGATAAAGTAGGAAAGAGACACGCTTACGTGCAGTATTATATAGCTATCACCTACACAGGGTATTCATTTACGTTAGCCAAACATCTTGTAACTCTTTTTCCAATATTGACACCAAATAAGAACCCGTTCATACCGGAGTAGAATCTTCCGTACTTATCCCTGGGCCATGGCTTGATCTCGAACTTTTCCACTCGCCAGACCCAAAGTCCCCTAAATTACAAATAGAAATGTGAATAATCCAGATATTAGAACAAAATTTGTTGTTAATGTTGTTCTAGCAGATTAGCAAACCACTGTGCGCATTCGAATCGTGCGAGTTTAGGGCACTAATAATTCCGTTCAAAATTCCATCCATTGCTCACATCGCCAAACAATAATAAAGACCTTAGCCTTAAACGAACTGCCGATAACGAATTCATACTTACTCTACATTTCCAATACCCAAATTGGGATCAGCCCATGCTTGCTCAGTTTTACTTGCTTGATAGCGAGCATCTTTATCAAACTTGGAGCCAAGGTAGGCAATATTCGTGTCGGCAATATCTGTTATTACGACAAGTGACTATAGCAAACGATGGAATTTAAAGAAATAGTTCTGTAAAGCTATAGGTTACCCCATTTCGGTTGTCGTTGCATTATTGGAATACCGAGATAAATGGTTGAACGCTTAGGATAAGAGTTGAATCGATTATCGTTTAGCAGTTGATATTCACGTTGTAGTTGATACAAGTTCTACGTCAATCTATATCCATATTAGGACGAACCAAATTAAAATGCATACCCGTGACTTTCTCTTAAATTAAAATTTGATATTACACGCTTGGAAGGAATGTTATAACAGTTCTGTAATTATATGGTATATATTTATTATGGACTTAGGATATTGAATATTGGTAGGGTCGTGTCATACGGAAATCTTTACAAATAACGGAGAATCGGTGTTCCTTAACGCTGGTGAAATTGAAATAGGAACCGCAAAAGATATTAAGTAGAGACTGGTTTTCGGGGGAAAGTCTTTTAATCATGCAAATACAGTATGGAGGAAATCGTCCTCAGGGCTGGTCATCTAATTATGAATAATTGACTGGAGGACATTCTTTCGCTGGTGAAGAATAGAAGGCTAAGTTCGGATGTTCGAGTGAAAAATGAGTTATCAAGAACGTCATCCACTACTTGAGAGTCTGATGGTTAGGAAGTTACAGCACTTTGAATGCATATTGGAGGATTATAAAAAAACATCGTCAATTGAATATTTGCAAAACATATCTTATATTTGCTTGTTGAAACCGTAAATCAATTGATTGACCTTTTGTTTCGTAAAACATAGAATATCTTCTCACCAGAAAATACTGAATTGACAAAGACAACTAGTGTTCCAAAGCTTACAACGAACGAGCCATGTAGTTGTGTTATTGCCAAAGAGATTTTTACACCCCTCTGGCAGAATCCAGTGAAGAGTGGGTATTCTTTTGTTTTTACAAACAACCGAAAGACTGCCGAGAATTTAAGCAAAGAAGACAAACTATATTCAAAGTAATTTGCAAAAGAGAAGTCATTTAGATAAAATCACGCGGGAAATTTGGGAATAAAGTATCATTTATTAGTTATCACATGTTTCTTCTGTTGATATTGACAACTCGTTGTGATCCATGTTAACATCCCACAATTAATATCATCTAAACTTTCTATAATACACCGCAAGCATGCTAGACTCTGCGAGCTAAAACAAATGATAGCTAAGAGATAAAATATAGCAACGGAATACACTTATTTAATTAAGCAATTTGTTATAAAGGCTGCCCAATATGGGAGCTTATCTTGCTACTTTTCTAATGCTGCTTATTGTTAAGGAAAACACGGTTGGTTATTCGAAATGAAAAACCCTTCAGAAAATACTAACTGCAATTTTGCTCGCTTCTCTTAAACTCTAGTCATTCTTTTTCCCATTGGTCTTGAAATCTTCCCAACTTTCTCCTGACGATATTGTGTCTTTGATGTCTGCTTTAGGTGGTATTGGTTGCCCACTCTTTGGGAACCGTCGTGATGCTGAATTTAACATCTTGAAGAACCAGAAAACATTCAATGTATTTAAGATGACATTGGCACCACCATAAATAACTTGAAGAAATATCGGAACTCGGTCGATAACTGGCAATACCGTGACTGATAAAACAACCGTGCACGTAAGGATTAAAAGTAAATGGACATTGTTAGGACATAGCCAATAACTGGTGTTACGGAAGAACTGATAAAAACCGCAATCGACTATACATACGTAATGTTTGATAAGACATATAGATCCCCCACACTATTCGTACGAAAAAGAATACAGAGAGTAGCAATATGCCATTGATCACCTGCAACAAAGAACCAGTTGCTCCTACTTTGTCCTAAATTTAGACAGCAGCGAATCAGACGTCAACGTAAAGGTACAAAGCAAATAATCATGACCATAAATTACCATAAACCAATGCAAGTTGAGGAACGGCGTCGACAACTCAAACATTAGGAACGCCGCACCATAATAATTAAGAAAGGGTCGCTAAAAAAATCGCAGAGTGAGAAATTGATGCGTACACGATTCAGCCCAGTTAAAAGTCAAGATTCACTCACGTAAGCGAAAAGGTAAACGCCAAAGCAAGAAGCACCATGCACAACGAACCCCACGCCAAACGCTTTGACATAATATAAGCTCACAAGAGAATCCCAAAGGAAATATCTGTAAATATAATCCAAAACATTAGCCAAATTTATCGATTAACAAGTTTTCGGGATAATCGTATTGTATTACATGGTCCCAAGATTAGTTGGCTTGGCCATTTAGAAATACCATTGACTGCAAAAGCTAAACTTTTTGGTTGCTCTCATTCTCCATACATGAATTGTTACTTACCCGCAAGCTATAGCATACACATTTCCAGCATATTCATCATAACCAAACACTTTATCTTTCAGCAACGTTTCATCAAATAATAGGGGAGCGGATAGTGCAGTTATCGCTACAGAGTGCACCAGGCTTACGACATGTATATCCCAACTGAGCCGTTTTAGATCACTGAGTTGTTTGTAAGTCTTTGGGAACAGGATTGGAGATATTATGCGAGAAAAGCCTACTGTAAAGTTGCATGCTAGCGTTGCAAAGAGAAGAGCCTGCCAGTGGTATGCGAGTTTTGGTAGGCCCACAGCTGTAAAGAAGGATTCGAGCCACCCTGCGGACATTTTTTTTTTGTTTATTACTGACGTTTTGGTCAAGAGGTTTTTAAATTTGCCATTTGTGTGTATAAATAGTACGGATCTTTCCAGGAACTCCAATAAAGTCCAGTAAAGTCCAATGAATCCAATCAGCGTTCGGAAAATCGATTGCTCCCCTGTTTGCAATCTTCATTTACTTTGACGCGCCCGTCAATAGCGCCAAGTTCAACACGAAATTTCACCACTTTTTGGGGAAGCATATGCTTATGCGTTCACAAACAATGTCATTGGTAAATCATTACCTAAATTAGTGAAAACGGTCATACTGATGGAATTTCGAATGACAAAAATGGAAGGGAATTGATTATAACTGTCCAGCAGTGGGATTTCGTGCGAAAACCATTTTCCCAAAGCGTAATTTAAAATTGGTGATGATTAAAACTGGGGTCATTGTGTAATACTGCTTAGCGTTACTTGGCATTACGATATACGTCTTAAACATCCTTAATAAAAAGGACTTTAACCTAACCTATTCGACTCGCTGATAATCAGCTGTTCTTGGTCTTAGCGTTATCACGTTTATTGTCTATCATAACATGTTGTTCTGTTATCCATAACATAAATAAAAGTTCCTCGCGATAGTTATCCATAACATATGATATTAATATGGGGCTAGTGTGTATAACGCCACAAACAAAATTCAGGTTCGTAATCGTCGAGCGCCACAGATCTTCTTACCCCTACTTTATTATCATATTTACTGACATATAGGAATTCTTAAGGTAAACACGTTTTCCCAAAGAATTGATGTAATTCTTTATCTTAATCTCCCCAGCACCTTTATTAGATTTTGATAGCCAACTATTAATCCAAAATACGTGTTGTAGTTTAATAATAATTTCTAAGTTGTAGAATACATAATGTCAAATTAAATTTCCAAGCGCTGTTTTGAGGTGATTTTTTAAATAACAACAATGATAATGATAATGATGGTATAGAACTGTACATAATAAGGGATTGTGTATCAAATTTAGAAGACCAATACTAATATATAATGCTAATACGTAATATGAATAATAGAAGTATAAATGTAAAATATCAATGTCTAAAAATATCCACAAAGAGTGTCATCCAAATAAATATCGTTAGACGAATGTCTGGACTACGAGATCTATTCAGCAGTAATTTCTGATGGAATTGTCTCTGACATCTTTGGAATCGGAGGTGCTTCTTCTTTGAGTCTACTGAGTATATCTTCAGCCTTCAGTACAACTGACATACTACGCTCGACACGTTCCCGGCCAGCTCTTTGCCTTCTGTTTCTCGTGCCAAGATCTTTGCCATTCTTTAGAGATTCCAAGATATTATCAACAAGGTGTTGCTCCGCCTCACTGTCATCGGTAACTGTCCCTTGTTTCTTGTTTTCGTCCTTCTTCTTAGATATCTCCTGCAGTAGTAAAACGTCGCAGTTTTAGTAAAACATTTGACTTTATCACAAAAATGAAGACAATAGAATTTGTAGCGTTATATATAGTGAACATACCGATTCCCTCTTCTTCCTCCTAGTTTCAAGGTCCTTTTGTTTCTTGAGATCCAATCTTGCTTTCTCGAATGAGGCAGTAAAGGTTTTGAATATGCTAAAGAACTCGTCCGGCTTGGTCGAGTTTGGATCTTCGCCAAAGAATGCAACAATGGCCTTATATTCAACTTCCATAGATGTATATGCTAATTTGAGCTTCTCGAATTTAACGCGTGATTTATCAATAAAGCCACTAATAACCATCGGGAATCTGTCATTTGGTTCAAGCTCAACGTCGGAATTAAAATGTTTCTCAAGCTCCACTGAAAGATCGTTTAATTTAATACCCATAGTACGGTACTCGGTTGATAATTCTTGTAACGAGACTGAAAAATGGAGAACAAAAAAAGGTTATATAATCGAATATAAAGCCATGTAATGTTAGACCCCACAACTTGATTAATACCTCGACAAGCAGGCCCACAGTCTTTGAGCTCATCGACAAATGTATAGACTTCTGGTAGTCGCTCATCAACAATACTTGTTAGGAAATGGAGTAAAGTCGTTGATGAACTGGTAGATGCCTTAGTGTCTACGAGCTATAATTTACAAATTATAAAATGTTAGGGGACGCCATTTTCTACCAGTTTGAAATACATCAATTGACTAACCTTGTTTATGCTTGCAATCTTAAAACCGAACGCCCCACCCTTCATGCCGCTTCCATTCATATAGTTGCCAAGAAGTAAAATGAGCTAAAATAATGGCAAATAAAACGTATTAAATTTAAATACTTGAATAAGCGTATGGGACTACAATTCGACTCACGTCAAGCAACTCCCTGAATCGCGTAGCCTTTTTAAGAGCTTTGGAAGCTTCCCAAATGATGGTAACGCCCTGAGAAATTTTAAGTTAAAATGATTTGTTTAAAACCGATAATTTAACGTCATTATTTCATACCTGTTCAAGGTCATTAAATCTTTCATCAAACGTACGATAGAAATACATAAACTTAAGTCGTTGCTCATATCGATGGATTTTCATAGTCTGCAATAAAACATCTTGTTATACAGACAAGAAAACAAAATCATGTATGACTTTAACTGACAACTGAAATTGTACCTCAACGAAGAACCTATCGGCTCTAGCTAAGTTTTCGAGAACGTCCTCTGTACCATCCTTATACACGGCCAGCTTTCCTCGCTAATAATCAATTATATTTAACATACAATCTAATTTGCAGCAAATACTTTCACACTTCCAACAAACCTCATCCGCAGTGGGAATATATTGCATAAACTGTCCCAGAAGATTTTCAGTGCAAAACAGTTCGTCCATTTCAATAATCTTTTTATGTATTTCTTCAAATGGCATGGTCTTATACCGGCCGAGAATGAGATCTGTAATAAGCTAATTATTGAGTATTTTACCAGCCATGAATTTACGTTGTACATCAACAAAGCGCATGACTTACTAATATTGTATGCACGTCTGGAATCTAACACACTGATTTCTTGCTTTTTTTCGGCTTTCTTCTCTGTAAAATGATACAAAATTTTATACACGACCGTACTCGCATGAACATTCGAGTGAACTGCTTGTCAAGCACTTACTTCTCAACGCAATCTCTCTAGCAGCAAATAGTTCCTCAATCGTCATAAACACACCATCTTGACCACCAAGCAACATTAAGAGTTGTTCATCTTCGTACATACGCTTGCTCCAAATAGTATTGTTAATTGACAATTGATTTATCTTTTCCCACTGCAATTGTTTTAATTTTTTCTTTGCAGAAATAGGAAGGTCATTTCGACGATTTACAACAACTGGGTTTAATGAATCAACAGAAAATGTTAGAGTAAGCACTTATTCTGTAAGCGTAATTGAGCAACTAGAAACATCACATACCATTAGAGCCACGGAAAGGCGCGGCGCCGGATGGTGGTGGTGGTGGCGGTGCAGGAGCCCCACCTTTACCAGGCGGTGGAGGAGGTGGTGGTGGTGGTGCAGGTGCCCCACCTTTACCAGGCGGAGGTGGTGGTGGTGGCGGTGCAGGAATCCCACCTTTAACAGGCGGTGGCGGTGGTGGGGGGGGAGGAGGAGCTCCACCCTTCACAGGCGGAGGAGGTGGCGGGGGAGGAGGAGGAGCTCCACCTTGCACAGGCGGAGGAGGAGGAGGGGGCGGAGGCGGGGCTCCACCAGACTGACCTTGAGTACTTTCCTGACTAGCTTCATTAATGACACCTTTCACTGGTGGAGGCGGCGGTGGTAACGGAATGTTGGATTCGGTCGTTGGTGTCTTGGATGACTGAAGAGCAGAGCCAGCGTCTGAAACGTCCTTTATTGGCAAGGCATCTGTAACAGTTGGTGAGGTTGGTCCGGAATCAGTTTTCGTAGATGATGGTTTACCGTTATTGTATACCGAAGACTTTCTCGTAGGAGATGCTATGGCCTCGCCAGCTGGGATGCTATCGTGGCTGTCGGACATGTCAATACCATCTACTGAATCGTGACGGCGTTGCTGAATTGCAGTCAATAGACCACTTGGAAATTGTGGCGGACCTTGATCGGGCAATCTGAAGCCACCACTGAAGCCACCAGGTGATGGACGCGAATCGTTTAGAGGAATTGGAAATTGTTGATCAAACTGCTGGCTTGGCTGTCCACTCGAAACTATGCTGGGCGAACCAGACATATAGCCAGTGTCGGTCGTTGATGTGCTTAATCTGTAGTCATGATGATTGGGCATCTGATTGTCATGAAAACCAAAAGAAAACTATAAGTATCACATGTCTATTCAACCGACAAGAGTGCAGGTCACGATATTACATACTCTAAAATCTCCAACCCATGCTGGTGTCCAGACTTTGCGTCCTTCCAATCTGGCCTCTGTCTTTGCAATTTGTTGCATTCTCTCCAATCTTTGAATAATTTCTTGTTTATCAAGTACAGAAGTATCATCCGAAGTGGCCTTTTGATATGATTCGTTCAAAGTATTCTCAAGCTCACGTAGTTGCATATCTTGCTCACGTAATTTCTCATTGTAACTTGCTTCCATATCAGCAAGGGTATTTTGCAGTAGATCAACGGTATTTCGTGACATAACGAGCAACTGTTCCAATGAATTGACTTTCGCCTTTAGATCACCAACCATTCCATCTATGTATTAACAAAATATAGTTAAATATGCATGTCGTTTCATTTCATACGAAAAGTTGGTTTCTCTTACCTGCACCCCTTGAAAGTTCCATTTGTAAATCATGTTTATCCTTTAGAGCTTTCTCGGCAACTGATTTAGCCTCTTTCGCCTCTTCTAGAGCGGCTTCCAATCTTTCTTGATCCGCTAGCTGATTGACCACCTGTGAGACTGCCACGCCTAGTGTCTGACTCAAATCTTGCCCACCACCCCTTCTGTCGAGAACAACCTGCGAAATCAGTGAATCTATTAACTGAAAGTATCGTGTCCTTGTCTCTCCATCTTCTCTAATTAGCAACATATGCTGCATTGCTGACAAGAAGAAGTCGTATGCTTTTGTTCCCTTAACAGATTCAACGATACAATTGAATATATCGTGAGGGTTAGTAATAATGAGTTAAGGAGATAATATAAGATAGCAAATATATAATGTTGTAAAACGCAGCAAATTGTAAGTAAGGATATGTCATGTCCTGTAGTATCTGGTTATTGTAATAGTACAACACTTCGTCATAATCCTGTTCGCTTTCATCTTCGAACTTTTTTATTTGTATGTTTATAAGCTCATAATTAAACGGTTTCATTTTCTAATAATAGTATTACTTCCATTAATATCAGCTCATGCAATTCAATTTATAAACTTCGAAAAATTATAATACATTCGGGATGCTTCTCCCTTGCGACTTACTTCGATAATGCGGGACAATCCGCACGCATGAAGTTGATTGCGTAGGTCAACGCGACGCTCCACATCATCACAAACACCAATTATTGCGTTCACCAAAATCATAGATGCAACCTAAACAATAAAAACCCTGAATTAATGGTTGACAGCGAAATTTACGCTACTCGTTGATTTCATTAAGCATACCGCATAATCCATCAATGTACTGTCAAAACCGATGCCTCCTTTTCTGAATTCGTCGCTAGCGTTGACCAAGCTGCCCATTCGTCCTCTTCCATCGATTGCATTCTCCAACATTCTAATCCAAACGTCAAATCTACCTTGTTCGGCTTGGAACTTTGCTAGTTGATCGAATCCCTGGAGTACAAGCGGATGTCCTTCAACTTTATCATAAATACATATAAACGAAAGTATTTCTGCCACTAATTTTCGTGTTGTTATTTGAGGAGAAGCAATTGAGAAGGTAAGCGCGTATACACAGAGCGGATGTGTTAGGGTTTCCTGAGCGCCATACTGTTAACAAAAGTATTATTCGTCATAATGAGTTATAAAAGAAGGAAGAAAATAAATGCAGAATGATTCGAGATAACCGTTTACTTACTTTATTGTTGAGTAGTGCTTTGAAACATTTGACAATTTCATATTCCATTTGTAGATCGCCCTCCCGCCTAACATAAACGGAATTAATTGTTATTATTTCTTCTTTCAACAAAAACTAGTAAGCGAATTATATATATTAAAAACTCACTTTACGGCTTTTCGCGTGATTGTGTTGAGTAAGTTCGCCAGTACTTCGGTTCCCTTTGCTTCAATAAACAATTTCACCCACCTATAAATAATATTCAAAAAAACGGTTAAAAGGTGCCTCCACTGAATTATTCATAAAAATAACCCGTAAAAACATTTTGACAGATGTTTGATATTAAATATCCAATACATAATAACTGATCTGTATTATGTCTTAGTATAAAAATGACATAGTTTCCCATTCTACTTACGTAATGGGAGCTGTTCTTAGTGAGACACTGAGCGAGTTCATCATTTTGACAGTGGCTGCATTCTCCATTATCTTTCTGATATAATATTCAGGTGCTTTTTTATCTTGATGATGGCCAATCTGCGTTGGTTTTTGCAACATATCTTGCTTGACTAGCACCCATTTCTTATCCGTAGATATTGCTAACATCTGTTTCCGTTGCGCCTCGGACAAGTTCTTCAAATCTCGATTATTCTACAACGATAAAATAGGATATGAAACATGTAGCTAATAAAAATCATGGAACCACACAAATAATTTTGTTTCTATAAAATGCAATCATACCATTAATTCCAAGAACATGCGCTCAATCTCAGCATCAGAGGGCGTGGCGAGCGAATCCTGTCTTTGAAAACTACGGTGCTTCGCATGACCCATATCTTTACCATCATTGCTATTCCGTGCATCACTCCCAGATGACCACACTGAACCATCAGACGAATGTTTCGACGTAGTACCGACATCAGGAAATGGATATGACCCTCCATCATTATACGTATTGTGCTCTACGGAACCTCGTCTCAGATGCTCACTATAATAATGGTGTGTTCCAGGCGATTGTGGTTGTTGGTATGGTTGTTGGTATGGTTGTTGGTATGGTTGTTGTGGTTGTTGTGGTTGTTGTGGCTGTTGTGGTTGTTGTGGTTGCTGCGAATACGGATAATACGTAGACTGCTGTGGAGCAATAGGCGGTGATTGATATGGTTGAGGTTGTGGAAAGGAGGATACACCTTGATATGGCTGTGTGTTTTGTCGTGACGGTGGTGGAGAATTCGAATGTGTTGGTTGTACATATTGAGAGTACCCTGGGTAGACATTACTAGACACTAAGTGAGAGGTATAACCTGGTGACTGCACCGCCGGCGGTTTTACGCTTGAGTATGGAACAGGAGGGTTGACGTCGATCGGATTCTTGGGCTTTTTCTTCTTTCCAAATAAGTGGTGTGCCATGCTTCGATATAGTATGAAAGGGGAATGATTAGAGATTAGTGAGTGATTGAAGCCACCACCATTGAACTTTGTCTGAAAGTATTGTTTCTCCGTATGGACCAGTTTTCTACCCTGTTCATTCACGTGACCACCATTCTCAATATTAATATTAACATTCATCAATAATCGGGTCTTGGTTTCACCGAGACTGCATGTAAAAGCCCTGCAATAACAATAGGTTTTGTTTAACTTACACACATAGTTTCCCTCTCGCAATTGAAGAAAAAATGGCAAGCAGTGCCGCTGGCTCAGAGTTATTCGAATCGTATGAGCAAGACTTCAAGCTGCTCTACAACTCTATCAATCAGAAAATCAATAACATTCCGACTCAATCTGGAGGTGTATAATATTATATGCTTGTATAGGTTGTAATGAACTCCTCTGAAAACATTGCTGTAACTACAAGTTGCTATGTTTGTTATACTTGCAGAAGAGAGAAAAGTCACGCTTCGAGCTATTGACCGTGAGATCGATGAGGCGACTGAAATCGTATGTTTATTAATACCGTTAATCTCGTAAATTACTGTCTGTGAACACAATGTTGAAAAATTTTCTTTGACAGTTTTCACAAATGGACATTGAGATTATAAACATGCCGTCAGCTTCCCGCTCACGACTGCAAGCCAGATTGAAAACCCATAAGAGTGATCTAGAAAACTTAAAACGAGATGTGGTAAGATAGATTGCTCTCACGCATTTAAATTTAATGACACCCTACAGACCAAAGACATTCGATTTTTCACACAAAATGTGCTCTGTTTATTGCTAGAAAATGGCCGCGTCTCGAGCGCCGGGTCCAACAGATCGTGAACAGTTACTATCTGCACGTAACGGTACTGATCTTGATAGTGCTGCTGTAGATCAGCGCGCGCGTCTACTAATGGGAACCGAACGTCTTACTGAAAGTAGTCTTCGATTACAAGAGAGTCATCGGGTTGCTTTAGAAACTGGTGGGTTTACTTGTCTAGACGGACTCGTTAATTTCAAAGGTTGATAGTATCTAAACTCGGCTTTCGATCATTTACAGAGACTGTCGGGGCAAGCGTATTAGACGATCTTCGTAGACAACGAGAACAGATTCTACATACGCAAACCACTGTATGTTACGTCATTTTAACAATCATTCGTTTTTCGTTCATGCTCATCATGTCTAATTTGTGTGATATTCGTTTACCAGCTGACTGAAGCAGATTCGTATATCGATAAAGCTTCGCGTACTCTGAGGACTATGACAAGACGGTAATGTACTGAATAGCATGCTATCATATTATCACGTTCAAACTCCGATTCTCATTTATTCTTTACCGTTCCAATACAGAATGGCAACGAGTCGTGCCATTACAATTATAATCATTATAATCCTCGTCGCTTTGATTCTATTCGTTGTCTATGCCAAGCTTTTCCACTAAGGCAGTTGTCTCGGGAATCTAATTATGTAAAGTAGTGAACTGAGTGTGTGTATTCAAATTGCTCCTGAGAATGGTATCGATAAGTCAACATTAGTTTATTTGTATTTCCGCCCACAAACCAGTATAATATTTAAACTCTGTGACAATAAAATTATATATATAGTACATTCACTTTATCCTTTGAACATGCTGTAATCCCATTGACCCTTGGGTGGAGGCTCTTGAAGTGGCTCCCATCTGTGAAGGATAACAAATTATTAATACAAAGCAACCGACTGTGCCAACTGTGCCAACTGTGCCAACTGTGCCAACTGTGCCTATCACATATTTCCTCCCAATTCAGGCTCAACTTACGGCTTCCATTCTTCCACTTTTGCCACTAATCGCAGTTCATCTTCGGCTTGCGTGATAATCTGCTCGATCTGGCCACCATCTATTTTTTCTTCAATCTCGGAAATATTCTCAGTGGATTCTATTATAGAAAGTCTGTGCTTTGTCAAAGCCTCAGTGGCTTGTCGGTAAACGGCTACGGTTGGTAAGCGAGATAAAGCAGCAAGAGTGTCATTGTAGGTTTTGATTAAGTGAGGCCGAGGATTGGGGTGAACAGGAAGGCCAAAAATCCCTGTAGTCTAGTTTGATAATGTATTAGCGTACAACATTCCAAGAAGAATGTCGCACTCTTTCATCGTGCAAAAAATATAACGTAGAATATTTACTTTCTTTGTCACATTCAGCAAGCACCGAGTTGCTTGCATCTTATCACCACTGAACGACGTTTTAGTTTGTCCAACACAACAAATTTTTGACCTTGTTGTATTGAATGTCCAATCAATGGTGACCAGTCCAAAATTAAGCTAATGTATGTCTTTATTACTATTATTATTATATAGATAATTTTTTGAAGTCAAAAAGCCCTTTTTGCTAACGCTGTGCCAGCCAGACTTGGTAATACTTTTAAAGATCTCCAGATATTAATTAATATCGATATGAGCATTAGAATCGGAGGTGTAATATATTTAGGTATCTACTACGTCATTAAATAATTAGTTAACGTTGGTTCACTGCAGACTTAACTAGAGTAAGGAAAAGGTGTTCGTAATACTCGGTTAATGTGTTGTTAAAATCTAATGTAATTAATATAATTAGAGACAGTTTTGGTCTGTATATTCTTGTAATTAATTATAAAAATAGAAACAGGCTAGATTACATACAACAATTATGACTCTCGTTATTTCCTTGAGGCTGAGCAAGTTCAAATATTTACAAAAAATGCGCAAATCATTAAAATGAAAGGCTGTGCTGTTCTAATTACAATTTCTAAACCTAACCAAATCTTTACCTACACACGGTATTTCTTCTTGAGACGTATTGACTATAGATCAAGAGAAAGAGAAAGAGATTCCTAAGGAGCGTCGAGTTGGATACAATTTGTATCAATATTTCTCGTCTTCTTGGTTCGTTTCTGAACCTGCAATCAATATCCACCATATCGACAGCAGCAATTTTTAATGGTATCAGCAGAAACAATTATCCGATATATTCGATTGCATTAAACCATAGAAGACTAATTGTGTTTGACAAACAGAAGACCATAAAGTTATGAGCTATTATTATTATGTATGAGAAACTATTCCTACGTTCGGAACTAATATTTTCCCACAAGAGGTTGAAGCTTGTGAGTTCCAGTAGCATTATTATTATATGTTTTAAGGTCATAAATAGCTAAGACCTGTTGCAACCTTAATCTCTCCTCCGCTATGTCTGTAAGTGACGCACTGTTTGCTTCCCCATGAAGTATAATTTTGTGAATACCAATCCGTTTTTTGAATTCATATATCCATTCCTTAGAGCACCGTATGTCATCATCCTCAATATTAAAGCTCTTGGCAAATTCGAGGCCTTTTTCTTGAGGAATTTGATCTGACAGAGGCAAACCCTCCGCAATAGCCACGACTCCATAGTTTGTTCAGCTTGGGGTGCTTAACAGAACACTGACGAAATGTGCTAGGATTCTGTTTTGTCAAAGATCTAATAAAATGTTTGTTGTTTCGCATATTCGCAAATTTCGCGTTTATTATCAATTATCAATTGAATTCTTTTTTCGATTGACGTTGTAAGGACATTGTGTAAAGATTAACAAGTAGTTATGGGATGGTGTTTATTACTTCACATTTACATACAAAATTGTGGTTCTCAAAAGTGTTTACTCATTACGCAGATATGATGTAACAGGTAAAAGCATGTATCCATTACAATCTTATAATATAATATGGGCTTTATGAAATGCCATTATTTGCTACGATAAAATAAATCGCTGCGTTATGTGCTATGTGCATTATCTTACGATACAATATGGACGTTTATGAGCCGTTTTATTATTATTTGTGGGAGGTAATTCGACTGTAATACGTTCATTGAGTCAAGAAAATGCTGACCCTTCATAAATGCATCCTTCCCTAAACGCATGCCAAATAAACCAATAATACTAATACACGTAATTGTGGTAGATAAGAAAATGTTTAGCTTATGGCTTTGAGTTGTAAGCTTTCCCTTTTCCGACAATTTGAATGTTCTGGGTTGCAAATTCCGTTATTATGTTGTTTGCAACTAGTGGAGATAGACAACGGATAAAAATAAATCGCGTTTCATATACATGTAGCCTAAATATAACAGGGGAAGCTTATGTGCTGCACATCGATATGTTTATCTCACGCGATAATTTAAAGTAGATGGCTAGTAGAGAGTGTCTTGCGCAACGCCTAATAAACAGAGTTGATTCAAATGAAACGACACCACCACGTAATAACAAGCAATCTCGCCTTAACGTTTCGGGTGTCAAAGCCGTCCTAGCGGGCTCGAAAACATGCCGATTATGAAGCACAAACATCTTGTATCGAACTATTGTCATACGATCTGTGTGATGTAACACAATAAATAGCTCTCTCCGTGATTGCTTCTTATTCAAACGATGTCACTAGTTCCAGAGACTGTTAATAATCCAGCAATTGATAACTTGGTTCAATCCTCAAGACTTAAATGGATTCCTTACGAAAAAATAACCTACATAGAGCCAACTCAAATTTCTACCGTCCATTACGCTAGTCGTCACGACTTCAATATCAAGATAATACTGGTATTCCTTGGAAACAGCGAAGAATGCACACAAACACTTGTGAGTGAGTTTGCCAGAATATACTCACTTTCTCCAACACACAAGCACAATAGTAATAGCAACAACTTCAAAAGATATTTCACATGGCTTGACCATCGCAATAGAATGATACATGGATTCACCAAGTATGACGACAATTACTACATGGTTGCTGATAAACGCCTTTACCATTGTTATTCTCGATATGGCTTCTGCACTGCATGTGGAATACTCCGATGTAGTCCCGTGTGGTGCATTTGC